CAAAGAATTTCAGAAATATATGAGCCAAAGTAAATAGGTTTTTTCAGTAATGGAAATTTAACTAATATGCACAGAAAATTGGTCTCTTCCAATTTTTGTCTCTTCAAAGAGTCTCTTCCTTTATTGTTTTTATGTACGTGCCTATGTAGAACCGCATTGAAATTGTTTTAAAGAGTATTTTGGAAAAGTTTAGGGAAAAGAAGTTTTTCCAAACACAATGATCATAGTAATGCAGACAGTAAAAGCTATACTGATGACTGATGAAAATGAGGATTATATTATATATCAGACTAAGGCTATTCTTAATATAGTATGGCAAAGGAAATCATGGCATTTTGGGTTTTTTTATGCATCTGAAAGGTAATTGGATTGTGAGAACTTTTTCTTTATCAATAAGTTGTATTCCGTTGTTTTTATACAATCATATCTTCTTCATCCATTTATTGGTTAATGGGCTTTTGGGTTAATTCCAGCTATTACAGACTGTTTTGCAATAAAAATGTGTGTGCACATATACCTGTGATATGATGTTAATTATTTGGGGAAGACACCAAGGTGGATGGAGCAGAGTTGGATCAAATGGAACTTCTAGTTCTAGATCTTGAGGAATCTCCACAGTGATTTCCATAGTGATTCTATCAGGTTATACTCCCTCCAACAGTAGAGAAGTGTTCCTTTACCCCACAGCCTCTCTAGCATAATTAATTAATTAATTAGGTACAGGATCTTGCCACATAGATCATACTCATAGTGATCCTCCTGTTTCAGCCTCATATCAGCCTTGGAATTATAGACATACAACAGCCTTGGAATTATAGACATACAACAGCACATTTGGTTCTGGAGCCAGCACCACATGCAGTACTGGGGCTCAAACCTGGGTCCTTGTGCTTGCCAGTCAGGTGTTTAGACTGCGGAGCTTTCTCCCCAGCCCATCTAGCATTTGTTATTGTTTGATTTCTTTTCTTTTCTTTTTAAAAAATATATTTAGTAGGGGGTCTACAGGGTCTCACTGCACAGATCAGACTTGTAGTAATCCTTTCTGTTCTTCAGCCTCCCAAGTTCTGGGAGTACAGGCACACACCACTATGCCAAGTATCTCTCTCTGTGCATCCCAGGGGCTGGTCTGGCCCTCATTCCCGCGCACCCCTGCCCCTGCATCTGCCTAAGCAGGAGTTTTAATCCATTGGCCTATCTGGCTGGCCCATGTTATTGCTTGATTTCTTGATAAAAAGCATTCTTTCTATATTAAGATGTTATCTCAGTATTATTTTAATTTGCATCTCTTAAATGATGAGTGATGTTGCAGACTTTTTCATATATTTATTTGCCACTTGTCTTTCCAGACTTTTTCACATATGCATTTGCCACTTGCCTTTCTTCATCTGAGAAGTGTCTATTCCTTTCAATTGCTCATATTTGGGTTGGGTCTTTAAATTTGGAAACATCTGATTTCTTTTAAAAAATTTCTTTATATGTTCTAGATATCAGTCCTTTTTTTGAGGCACAACTCGCTGAGATTTTTTCCCACTTTGTGGGAGGTCATTTCACTGTGTTGGTGATTCCTTTTGCTGTGCAAAAACTCTTCTAATAAAATAAGATCCTAGTTGCTGATTGTATTATTTCCTGTGTCTTTGGAGTTTTCTCCATGAAGTCTGACTGTGTCTTCAAGAATTCTACCCACTTTCTCTTCTAGAAGATTTAGGGTTTCTGTTTTAATATTTAGGTCTTTGATTCATTGTGATTTCAGTTTAGAGGATGATTTCCTCAATATCATTGATAAAGTTATGTAACATGAAAAAAGTACAAACAACAATACAAAAGCCATATTAAAATTAAAACAAAATAGAAAATGACAAGAAATAAAAGCAAGTCTTTCAATTCTTATCCTATGTGAAATCCTTTAACTGGTAAAATGTGCTTATTCAATTTCACAAAATTTTTATTGAAAATTATTCAAATCTTACAACATACTATTTACCAGATATAAAAATCAGGCATGTGTTTTTAGTGAAAAAATTGCTGCAAGATTTTCTAGCTCTAAGGGCTGGCCTGATATCTCAGAGGGTAAAGTGCTTGCTTAGGCAGAGTGCAATGGCTGGGTTTCAATCCCCCACATGCAGTGCCAGCCTTACCCACCGGGCAAGCTGAAATTTGTGACTGAGACTGGGTATGGTGGCAAATGCCTATAATCCCAGCATTTGGGAAGCTGAAAACAGGAGAATCACTATGAGTCTGATCTACATAGTGAGACCCTGTAGACCCAGTAGATCTTATCCTAAACACACACACACACACACACACACACACACACACACACACGATTGTTGAGCTCTTGTTTTGCCTCCTTAAGCAGTAATGAATAAAATCATAAACCCTGGATTAGTTTTGCTTTGGGAATTTTTGCATCCTCCCTTTCTACTTTCATGATTTCAGTTCTGTTGAAAGAAGCTTGCCACTTTAAGAGGGATCGTGTAATACTAGGTAGTATTTATGTCTGCAGTACCACTTCAAAAATATTGAGAGGGGTCGAGGAGATGGCTCAGTAGAATAAGGCACTTCCCTGGCAAGCACAAGGGCCTGACTTC